TCTCCATGACAGCCTGCAGTAACAAGTGAAAGATACCAACATCCATCAGCATCCTCTCCATGACAGCCTGCAGTAACAAGTGAAAGATACCAACACCCATCAGCAACCTCTCCATGACAACCTACAGTAACAAGTGAAAGATACCAACATCCATCAGCATCCTCTCCATGACAGCCTGCAGTAATAAGTGAAAGATACCAACATCCATCAGCATCCTCTCCATGACAGCCTACAGTAACAGGTGAAAGATACCAACAGAAAGGGACAGAATTCCAGCATTCCACACAAATCTCCAGTGATCGCTGTCACAACACAGACTCCAGGGAGGACTGAAGAATAATAAAACGGCAAATGCAGATACTGTTGATTCCAGGGCAACACCAAGTGCCTGGTAAGTATGAGTCTGCACCTTGATGGTTCCTACCGGTGAGAAAAGCAGCTTGGTGTAAAAGGAGATACCTAAGTGTAGAGCCTGTTTGAATATGGGACCTTCCATTGACCAACCGTGTGATTCCCAACAGGGTGTATTTTCTTCCTCTGTACTGCGTCCACATTTGCAAGGACACATAAAAACATCCCTCCCCCTCCCCCACTGTGATGCCCGGAGCTGAAAAGGCGTGTTTCACCTTTCCTGCTCACCTTTTGTGGACTTCGTGGCAAGGCATGGCAAACTCACTGTTATGAATTCTTCCTAGGGTCACAAACCAGGGGGCCCTTCACTCCTCCAGCCTTTCCCTAGTTCTTGGTTTTTTCATCACTGGACTAGCACACCATCTGTTGTAATCAATCCTAACACACACATCATGGGTTGCTATTAAGCTCTCAGCGTTGAGTGAAGTGGGCGGGTTGCTCACACTCATGAAATTTACAAGTCAAATTAGAGGAACGGATTACCGATAATAACACTACTGATAAACAAGCTGGAGAAAATGCTACGGGGGGGGGGGGGGAGAATCACGCCAGCCCTACTGGAGCGGTCACCATGGAGACCAGAGTTCCAGAAGTGCGTTTGTAAGGAAGTGACCCTGAAGCAGAGAGCTAAAGATGAGGAGTTAAGTAGATAAAGGTTGGGAAGGAGAGAACAAAGTGAAGCATAGGGAACTAGGAGAAAGCCCGAGGAACCGATTAGTGTAGAGATCATTTTGGGTGTTTTGGACTCCAGGTTAGAGAAATCACTGAAGGGTTAGAGATAGTAAAAGTGGACTTGCATTTTAAACACACACCCACATCACCACTCCCTCCCCAGGTGCCATGCGTCACCCTGCAAGGGTGGGAACACCACATTGCACAGGCGAAGGAGCAGAAACGCAGCCCAAGGCAGGAAGCTGCTGCCTATGACCTGGGTAAGGGCCCAGGGGACTGGGCGCGTGAGCAGCGTGTGCTCAACAGCGCCAAGCTGAGGGCTGCGGCGACAGGCATAGCAAGATGGATTCAGTCTCTACCTCAGTGCTTCTTGTGTGGAAGACAGTGAAGACTGCGTTCCGGACAGGGATGCATACAATGGAACTGGAGTTCTCTCAGCAGACGAGCAGGAGTTCTAAAAAACCCCGCGGTACTCTGCCGTCTCCTGGGCTGGAGCCTGGCCCTACACAGCCCTTTCAGATAAATCCTGCTCCTTGAATGCCAGTTTTGAGGCTTAGGGATTAAACCTCACTGCTATAGATTTCAGAGTATCTCTTTGGGGATTTTACTTCTTTGAAAAAAAAGAAATGGGCACCTGCTTAGTTCCACAATTCCGGCCTGTACCTTGGTTCTCTCGTTTGCAACCACAGGTCCAGACAAGAACCTACTGAAAGCTCAAGGATGCCAATGAGGAAAAAGTGTGATATCTGCAGGTCCAACCAGGCTAGCATCCCAGCGCCTGACCCACCCAGTGGGGGGCTCCCAGCATCCCCAGCACCAGATCCAGGGCGCGCGGGGGTGGGAGTGGTGGCAGTGGAGGGGTCCCAGCCTCCCAGCACCTGATCCACCCGTGGGGTCAAGGAGAGTCAGGGGTTCCCTACCAACTGCCCTCTCTCCATGAGACTCAACCTCCTAGCCCTGTCCTCATGAGACTCCTGCTGAGTCCCACTGGCTCCAATATCAAGACAGGAGCGCCTTTCTTCTAGCTATGATAGGAGAGATACTTTCACACACACACACACACACAAAAAAAAACCTTCCATTTTCAGCGTCTGGGAAACAGAGAATTACATATTCTCACGGTAATAGACTAATGACTGGTTTGCTGAATTATTTTCACCCTGGTGAAACTATTTTAGTACTTTTGTTAATGTGCAAGGAGGCAGAGGAGAGCGAGGTATTTTCAAGGGCACTCCCACCAGATCCTTACCGACACTCTTTTCTGAGATAGGTGGATTTCTGGGAAGGGCAGAACTCTCACGGATTTCCCATTAGGTTTCGGGCCACAGAAGGGAAAGGACATCTTGCTAAATCTCCCGAGATCACGAAAGTCAGCTAGAATATAGAAACAATATATATATATATGGAATTTTACAATAAGTAGTTAACTGATTTTTGCATGAATAAATTCACGTGATAGGCTGCATAGTAAAAAACAAAACAACTCCCTGAGCATTTAATAGTGTATTAGTGAATGATTATTTACACCGATGGTGTCTGCGCGCTCACCAATTCAAGCCAACTTAATAATGAGAAGCCTGAGGAGAAAATAAGACTCCAGCTCGGTTAGAATAATGATTAATTCCCAACTGCAATTAGCACCTCGGAAGGTCTCAACAGGGATGCTCGCCGGGCGCGCGGCGATGACGTCATGCAACTGTTCCTGTCTGGACTGCGCTGCATTGATGGCGTTGAGGGGTAGGGTACAGACTGTCTCTCTTTTAAAATTTACATAACTTGTTTTGTGGAGGTCAGACGATAACTTGTGAGAGTCAGCGCTCTGCCCCTACCTCGCAGGCTCTGAGGGCCAAACTCAGGTTCTCAAGCTTGGCTGCAGGGGCTTTACCCACTGAACCATCTGACCAGCCCTTCTCGCTACTTTTGTTGTTGTTTATGTGTGTGGGTACTTCGCCTGCATGTGCACCACATGTGTGCCTGGTGCCTGAGGAGGGCAATGGATCCCCTAGAACTGTAGTAACAGTTGCAAGCTGCCATGTGGGTGCTGAGAACAACCTGGATTCTCTTAATGAGCAGCAAAGTGCTCTTAGCTGCTTAGCCATCTCTCCAACCCCGTCTCTATTCTCCTCCTCCTCCTCCTCCTCCTCCT